GAGAATACAAGTTTAGAGATTTTAGTTTCTCCTCGTAGGACAATCCCACCATCCCAGTTATCATCATAGTAGCTTTTTTCTGAACCTTCTCCAACAGTTCAATGTCTTTCTTGAGGAAGGGAGCCCAAAACTGTACACAGTATTCTAATTGAGGCCTAACAAGTGATCTATACAGTGAAACAATAATATATTTTGTCTTGTATTCAATATTTCTATAGATGCTACCCAAAATCCTATTAGCTGTATTTCTAGCTACAATACACTGTTTAGATGACTTAAGTGATTTTTCAGTCACCACACCAAGATCTTTTTCTTCAACCACAGTATTTAATGTAATCCTATTTAAATTGTAACAATAATTTGAATTGTGAAAACCCACATGCATCTCCTTACATTTTGGATAGTTAAACCTCATCTTCCACATACTGGCCCAATGCATCAAATGATCTAAATCTCCCTGTAAGTCTGCAGCATCTTTGATACAGTTAGCCACCTCAAAAATCTTAATGTCATCTGCAAGTCAAAATTTTGTTTCTTATTCCAGAGTGAATATCATTAATATAAATAACAAACAGCAGAGGACCCAGCACAGAGCCCTGAGTCACATCGCTTGTAACTGTGATCCAGTCAGATCTAACTCCATTTATTTCTCTTGTCTGCTTTCTGTTCTCCAGCCAATTTTCTGTCCAATTTAATAATATTTCCCCCACACCCACAGATTTAATTTTTGTAACAAGTCTTTTGTGAGGCACCTTATCAAACACTTTCTGAAAATCAAGGTAAACCAAATCCACAGTATTTGCCAAACATACTTCCCCTTTTGGCTGTGGGGGCATAATAAAGTAATGATCAATCCCATTATTCATTGATAAGGAGTAACCCAAGAATTGGCAGTGGCTGATGTTGACTAGCTGTCTTCTATCTAGTCTGTCACTTCAAAGTTAGGGATGTCTAGGGCAGATAGTTCAAGTTGCTTTGCACCAAAATCGACAGACAAACCTGTTAGTACTGGCCCTTCATACAGAGACAGTGAAAATAAGTTTTGTGGATCGTGTTAGCAAACAGTAGCACACTAAAGCTGAAACGTTTCAACTTGAAATACTAATTTTGATTAAATATTTTTTGGTTTGTTTCTGTACACTTACTTGAATAAAAATTTTAATATTGGTATAAAAAATGCTATAAGAATATACATTTATTCAAACTATTCTTTTGACTCAGCTGGAATTAGATTTTAGAGAAATCTTAAATCTGTCAAATCTAACTTTTAATTCGAAGGACCTGTTTCTTTATAACATTATCACTTTTTTGTTTCTAAATAAATGATAGCCTTAAGAATATTTATTTGTCAACTTACTAGTTATTAGTTAGTTATGAAATATTATGCTTTAAAAATTTTCTTGCTATATTTGGATGTATTTTTTTTTATCAGACCAGCATACTACAAGTTGATAGAAGAATGTATTTCCCAAATTGTTTTACATAAGAGTGGCTGTGATCCAGATTTCAGATCATCCAAACATTTCAAAATAGATGTTGAACCTCTTATAGGTGAGGTTTTTTCTTAAAACTATCCATTTCTGCGTAGTTGTTTAAATTATACTGTTATGTGTGTGTGATGTATTGAACCAATCTTATCATATTCCAGAAGACCTGACATTTAAATAGTTATCTACCTTTTACATGTCGTAATTAACTGCACTATTAAAAGCAGTGTTTAATAATGGTGATGAATTGGAAGAAAATCACAATAGATGCAAAAACTGCATTACATGTGTAACTTTAAAAGCTGAAATACATTTTCTTAAGATTCACTTATTAAACAGTAGTTTATGGAATTTTAATTTATATACTAAAGATAGGGACTTTCAACATAATGTCTGAAACCTTCAGTACATTTTTAGGATTTAATTTAATAAGCACAAAGTGATGTTTTTTAGTATTGGTGTGTTAATCATACATCTATTACATTGAATCTTTGATGGCAGGACTTTATTTTTCTGATTTAAAAGTCATATATACTAGCTTTACCTTTATAGTAGAAAACACAAGAGTCACTTGAAACTGGAGTTATCTAAAGTTTTGATTTAGAATAAATATAAATATTGGGCTTCTCTGTTAACAATCATAAAAGTTAAAGAATTATTTTTACATTTATTAACTGTTTATTAAACAAATTAATGAAATTAAGTAGCCAGTGATGATTAGCTACTTTTAGCTCTCTAATCACTTTAAATAAAATGATTTCTTCTTTTTTTTGGACACTTGGACTGCATTTATATTTCTTACTAAACTGTCAATGACATCTGAGTCTTACTACCCTGTATACAAGTAACATTTCAGAGAAAAACTTCACAACCAAAATTTTAATCATAGATAAGAGCACTGGCTTTTGGTAGATTGGATGTGAAGAATATTTACTGAGCTCTGTGGCATTATATGTTTAGGTTTCTGGAAAACTACTCGGCAGTTTCATAAGTCATTTAATAAAACAAAAAATAAAATACTTATGAGGTTTGAATAATCACAGTTCACTCATAATGTGTAATGATAAGACTTCTTCATCTGTTCATAATTTTTGTTCTTTGTTATGCAACAAAATATTGTTAGATAAAGTTGTGCTATTACTTCTGTTGTGTATATATATATATATACTACTTTTTATCACATTCTATAACTTAATGTGAAATCATCTGTATTTGAATCACTCATTTCATTAATTACATTTGGAATTTTACAGACAGCATCACTTTTTTTTTTTAACACTATTGTGATGAACAAATTAACACTTTCCATAAACTAGAATGGATCTTATTTTGAAGAATAGGTTTTGTTTAAAATCAATTTCAGTGTATGTAAGAATCTATTCACTTTCAAATTCGATACTGAAAGTAATGTTAGTACCATATCAAGTTTGTTCACTGACACATTTTCACCAAGCTGCTTTCTTTGTCATGTCACTACTTATTACATGACTCAGCCAAGTTGTAGTGTGTTTCCAAAACACACTTTACTTAGTGTTGCTATCATTTATAGGTTACACAGGTTAACAGGTTTTCTCTGTTTGTGATATATATCATAATTTATATACAAGTTTTACATTAACACAGATCCAACTAAAATTATTATTCTTACGGAATGAATAGCTACATTATAATACCACATGTTTTATAATATTTCTGTAAAATAGTACTTTGTGTAAAGTGTCCTGTATTTATCAGTAAAGATTAATTTAATTTTTGTGTCCAATGATAGAAAGATAAAATATGTCATCTATTTATATTAGAATTAAGATAAGAAATCAATCTCATGATTACATCAAAATATCTAATATGTTGTTTGTGCTCTGGTATTTTACCTAAAGGTAGCTTTTTTGTTTTGTTTATGAGCACTACAAAAACTGTTATAACTACATATTTTGCTAATCTTGATTTATTATTATTTTACTTATTTATACATAGATATATTTTTATTGATATTATTTTGTAGAAAACTTGGTTGAAAGAGCTAAACAGGAAGAAGAAAAACAGTCACAAGAACTGACAAAAAAACTTGAAGAAGCAGTGACAGCAAAGCAGGAAGCAGATGCAAAATTAGCACAGGCTGAACAAAAACTCGTAGAAATTGAAAATCAGTTAAATGAAATTAAAAGTACTGTAAGTAAAATTTAAAAAGTGTTCTGCTAGATTAGAAACAAGCTGTGGGTTAAAGACTTCAGTATAAAAGTATTTCTATATGCTGTAATATATATAATATGTTGGCAATATTTTTTACTGATGTTTTATTGCAGAAAATCAACTTACTCTTTTGAAGAGAGAATGAAATGGTAATAAGATCATAAAAAGTTAAACTTATTATGCTAACTCTACTGTTACCAAGTTATTAAACCTACATATATGACTAACCAAAATGATGTATGCTTGTCTCACTCGAATTATTGTTTTAAGTAAGATAAATCTTTTTAATTAATTATTACAAAATGTTTACTTAGAATGTATATGTGAATAAAAAAAAAAAAGTGGCCTAACGCAAGAACTGCTTGTGCATAACATACCCAATCTAAGAGTTAGAAGAGATAGTTTACACTCATTCTAAATCTTGTTGATCATCTCTGTATTTGATTTTTGTTCTTTATAGTGTGATTGGTTGATGTAATACTTAACAAAGTTACAGTGTAAAATTAAATCTTTAGTGGTAATATATGAATGTAACAAAAATAAAATATATTACGCAAAGGTTGCTTAAATTAGGGCTATTTTAAGTGTATCAAATGTAAAACCTATAAACGTTAGTAGCATTTTTTAAGTTTTATAATTATATCACTTGATGGTATATGCAATATTTAATTGTAAAAAAAAAAATGTTAGTATGTGTTCTCTTAAGATATTCAAGACAATTGTATTAATTATTTGAACCTTCTGTTCTTTCTATTTTTACTAAGCTTTATTTTTGAGATTGCAGACTTATTGTTGTCATTTCTTTGTTGTTTTTTTGTATATAATTAGTTTTACAATTTATAAGATTGTGCCAATACTCTTCTGTTTGTTTTGTATTTTATTTATTCTGTTTAGTTGCATCTTAATTTGTTTGTCTGTCTGAATCTCAGTTAATTGTCACTATTATATTATGCATGTGATGGTTTTAAAATAAGACCCAAAACTCAAAAGCTTTCGAATAGTTCACTATTCTTCAGAAGAATAGTGAACTATTTGAAAGTGCTCCAGTTTTGGGTCATGTTTGAAAACCATTACAACTTTTGTATGTAATCCTTTGTGCTAACTTCTAAATCAGATATTATGCATGTGATGTAGTGTATCTTGAATAGATCTTACTTATCAGCCTATTATTTTTCTTTTATTTATTTAGTATAGATTATCCAACAGTTGTAAATCAAAATTGAGAAGCTGAAATAAAATTATGATTGGAGGAATAAAATTCTAGATATTTTTAATGTAAGTAAAGGGCAAACTTTCTTTCATACTAAGAGTGAAAATCAAATTGATATATTTGCAGGGAGTTGTACCATCTCAGAAAATATTGGCACCTCCACCTCCTCCAGGCTCAGGAATACCTCCACCGCCACCTCTACCAGGTTCAACTATACCACCACCTCCACCACCACCACCTGGCTCGGGTATTCCACCACCCCCTCCACCTCCAGGAGGAGGAGGTATACCACCACCACCACCCCCTCCACCTCCAGGTGGTGGTCCTCCACCTCCTCCCCCACCCCCAGGTCTAGGAGGATTAAAATTTAATGTCCCTCAAGGGTCTCCATCTCCAGTTGCTATGGATGTACTTCCATTTGGAATAAAGCCAAAAAAGAAATATCAGCTAGAAACTCCTTTAAAAAAGGCTAACTGGAAGAAAGTAGGTTGGAGAAATTTTCTTCAAGTATTTTTGTTTACAAAATTAAAATATAATCAAAGGGAAAAACTAGATCATTAAAAAAACTTTCTGTATTAAACATGTTTCATGATTTCAGTTTTCTAAAGTTCAAGATCAAGAGGTTTTGCTTACCACACCAATAATTTATAGAATGTTATTCAAACTACCTAGAAAACAAATTTTAAATTTCATTTTACTAAATGTATTATGATGAACTTGTCTTGCAAGCAGTTAGCTCCAAAAAAATGAAGTTATGGAATATTGAAATCACCTTTAAAAAAGCAGTATGAGAAATAGTGGCTTAAATATGTAAAATCTTCAGTGAAGTCTATAAGAAACACATTCTAAGGATTCTTCAGTGAAGTCTATAAGAAAGACATACTAAGGATTCTTCAGTGAAGGCTATAAGAAAGACATACTAAGGATTCTTCAGTGAAGTCTATAAGAAACACATTCTAAGGATTCTTCAGTAAAGTCTATAAGAAACACATACTAAGGATTCTTCTGTGAAGTCTATAAGAAACACATTCTAAGGATTTTTGGTTTTGCTCCTCAAATACTAACTTTGAAATATCAAATGGAAGGTTTTCAAGAAATCACTAGTAAATATGATAGTAACTAGTAGTTTTGTAGAATTTAGTGAAATGGGTGTTAAATATGTTAATAACAAATTAAAATTTTTATGTAAGAGCACTTGAACATCCAAAGTTAAAGGTAGGGAAAATAAAAACATACTCTCTTTAAATTAATATTGTTTTAAATGTCATAAAATATACAGGTAAAGCAGTAACTATTAGATTCGTCATAATTTTAAATTCGTTTTTATTTTTTATAATTTTTCAATTTTGAAAAGTTATTTCTCACAGCATTTTTATACTATTTTTATAATGCTTACAAATTTTCTACTAAGCAATCATAAATTACTTTTAGAATGTCAATTTCTCACAGTATTATTCATTCATTGTTATTAAATTTCAAGATTTTTCTAGTTTCTTGTGATTAATAATAAATAGCTTTTTTCATCTAAAATATATATTCTGTGTAAGTTTTACATTTATATCACTAAATGTAATTTAAATCTTAATTAGAAATGTTGAAATTTAAATAATTCCTGCTCAATTGTAAATGGTTAATTTCATCTTCCTAATTCTCCCATTAGAAACATTGAAACCTAAATAATTCCTGTTCAATTGTAAATGGTTACTTTTGTCTTCCTAATCCTCCCATTAGAAACATTGAAACCTAAATAATTCCTGTTCAATTGTAAATGGTTACTTTTGTCTTCTTATACTTCCCATTAGAAACATTAAAATTAAATAATTCCTGTTCAATTTTAAATGGACATTTTTGTTTCCTTATGCCTCCTGTTAGAAACATTAAAACTTAAATAATTCCTGCTAAATTGTAAATGACTAAGTTTGTCTTCTTATGCCTCCTATTAGAAACATTAAAGCATGGGTAATTCCTGTTCAATTTTGAATGAGTACTCTTGTTTTACTACACTTTCTAATTTCATATCACAATTAGATCCAACCTCAAAAACTCTCAGAAAAATCCTTTTGGGTCAAAGTCGCTGAAGAAACGTTAGCAGATGAAGATGTGTTAGACAGTCTTACATTAAAGTTTTCCTCGGCTCCACCAGGTATTTCTTATTACTTAACACATTTAAAGAATACTTGGCCTAGGAACTTTATCTTTGAATGTCTACACTATGTTATGTTTATCAGGTTAAAAGATGTACAGTTCTATCAAACTTATACTATTTTTATTTTATAGTATAAGACCATTAAAGCTTTGAAATGTCGTTTTCTGTTAATTTTATAAGCAGCATTGTTAGTTATCCTGCTTTCTTATGAAGCAGTGAACATACAACATTTGTAAGAATTTGCCTCCTGAGTTTTACACATCCAGTGCATGCTAGAGCTCTTCAAACTTAATTTTTCAAGCCCCTCATTTGCAATGTGGATTTTTCACTGATTTTTCAAAAATACCTGCACCTAAAGCATTAAATGTAGTTAGTGTTTGCTTGAAAACTACATTAATTTGGTAAGTAAAATTTTTATTTGAATTTCTGCAGGCCTAAGAATTCACTATTTTCAAGATTTGTCTTAGAGCAAATTAGTTCATGCTGGTAATGGAAGAAATTGTTGAAGTGAAAACTCACTAGTGTATAGTCAGTCGGCATTGAGGCACCATGCTTAAGAAACACGAATTAATAGCTATCCAAGTAACAGGGTTAAAGTCAAAATCCACTTGGGCAAGTCTTAATTTTCCTACAATAAAAAGCTTCTACATTCATATCTGACAAAAAAAAGTAGTTTTAAAATATTAAGGACAGTCATATTTAAAGAAAATATTGCTGCTGACATAATACACCAGATTAGTATTATTGTAATTTTTTTAATTAATATTAAACTATTAAATCTCTGAAATGATTAATATACAATATAATTTGTTTTTAATTACAATGGTGATAAATTCTGTAATCATTACTCAAAGCTTGAAAAAAAACCATTACTTTTGTTTGACAGAAAATATGAATTTATTCTTTAAAAATAAAAAAAAACTTTATTGAGCTAAATTCTCTTAGATATTTGTCTGAATTTTTTATTATTTATTTATATTTGTCTTATTTCCAACAGGTACTGATTTGAGCTCTAAAAAAACTTGAAAATTATTTTTCTAAATTGATAAGATAAATTCTGAAAACAAAAATGAGCACTTATAGCTAACATTAAACAAGTCTCAAATTTTTAAGTAAATTTTTTATTTAATTTTTGTTTTTCTTATAGCAAAGAAACCTAAGCAACAAACAGAAGAAAAGTCAGTAAAAAAGGCTAAGGAATTGAAAGTTCTTGACAACAAATCAGCCCAAAATCTAAGTATGTATCATTTTTAATACTTTCATTTCTGGCTTCTTGAACATTTTATGTAGAAGTCTTATGCCTTAAAAAATAAAAATCTGTGAATATTAACGTAACAGTGATGGATGTGTTCATCTTTTTCATTACAACTGGTTTCCTACCAAAAAGAAATATCCAAGTTTCCTTTGTCAACACTAGCTCTCCAGGGCATACTTTTGAAGGTTTTTGCCTACAGACCATAGAATTCATGCAATGAAAAATTAAATGGTTTACACTACTGTTATTTACTATTTGTCATTATGTAAACCTAAAGCAACAACAGTTAGATCTAACACTAAATTTTAATTTATCATTTGATTTTTCTTTTTATCTTTTTCTTTCTCTAATCTCGAGATCTTTTAGAATATTTTATACACATTAGTATGTGATTTTTAATTTGAATAAATGATTTATTTGAATTAGTCCTCCAGTGGTTCAGCAATAAGTCTGAGGGTTCACACTGCTTAAAACCAGGTTTTAATATCCATGGTGGACTCATTGTGTAGCCTTGTGCTTAAAAACAAACGAATAAATTATTTAAATTAAGAGAAATTCGTTTTGGCAGAACAAAACTGAAAACTGATTTAGTTTTTTTAAGTGTATTGTTAACACTAAAAGAATAGTTGGAAAAAGTTCATGAATAAACTTTACATTAGTTAAAGTTATCCTTAAAAAATAATCCTTGTACAATACTTACTGAATATGAATGTACTGGGTAGTCCTGGCTGTATTTTAAAGTTTAAAAAAATCTTGGCAAAAAATATTTAAATGCTAAATATGCTTTTAAATTATTTTGGAATGATGACATTTTTTCGTGTGAGGTATGTATATGGTGTACATTTTCTAAGGATCAAACATGTTTAGCTGCTTCAAATACAACCCAACAGACAGGTTCTGTGCTCAAAGGAAAGGTATTCTTGACAGATCACAACCCAAGAATAAATATATAGAAGTGCAAGTCCTTTTTCCTCTTGTCTGTTTTTTGCATTGTGTTAGGATGCATGCTTAAAGCTGATTATATAAAAATGACTTGTTACAGGATAGAAAGTTTGATTATTTCTATACAATGTTTCAGTGATCTTGCTGGGTTCGGTGAAGATGTCTGCACAAGAAATGAAAGACATGATTCTTTGTATAAATGAAGACCACTTGACAGATGCCATGTTGCAACAGCTCATTCGTTACATGCCTGAGCCAGACCAGTTAAAGAAACTGGATGATTTTAAAAATCAGTATGATGATTTAGCAGAGGCTGAACAGTTTGCTATCACTGTAAGTGTTTTGTTTATCTTTCTTCTGTTACTTTACTTTTACCTTAATCTATTTTATAAAAGTTAAAAACACATGTAATACTGCTGTACACACAAGTAAAAACACTTTGAAAATCTACCATCTTTACTATATTGTTTTTTCTTCATTAGAAATGCTTTCCTCCAAGTGTTTTTATCCCTGCACCTCTGTAAATGTTGCTTTGCGCAGATGATTTATTGTGTTTTGTTTTTTCAACTAGTGTGTGTGTTCTCCAATGCTTAACTCTCTCAACACGGGTCTGGTCAATTTCACTGACCACGTGGCCTCTTTGTACTCATTTAAAGTCTTTATAGTTTTAATACTTCTAACTTTCAGTATAGTTTGTATATCTTCACAAAATTTAGGCAGTCTTTC